CGATGGAAATATATTAGCTTCTGGAAGTGATGATAAGTCTATTCGTTTATGGGATGTCAAAACAGGATAGTTAAAAGCCTAATTGAATGGTCATACGAGTTATGTTTGGTCCATCTGTTTTTGCTCTGATGGAAATACATTAGCTTCTGGTAGTTGGGATAAATCTATTCGTCTTTGGGATATTTAAACAGGGTAATAAAAAGCCATTTTTGATGCTCATAGTAGCATTGTCAACTCAATCTGTTTCTGTCCTGATGGAAATATATTAGCCTCTGGTAGCAGCGATAACTCAATCCGTCTGTGGAATGTCATTACAGGATAATAAAAAGCGTTATTGGATGGTCATAGTGAAGCTGTAAGATCAGTCTGTATTTCTCCTGATGGAAATATATTAGCTTCTGGTAGTGATGATAAGTCTATCCGTTTATGGGATGTCAAAAAAGAATAATAAAAAGCTATATTAGAGGGTCATAAAAATACCGTCTACTCAGTTTGCTTCTCTCCTGATGGAAATACATTAGCTTCTGGTAGTGATGATAAGTCTATCCGTTTATGGGATGTTAAAACAGGATAATAAAAAACGATATTAGAGGGTCATAAAAATACCGTCTACTCAGTTTGCTTCTCTCCTGATGGAAATACAATAGCTTCTGGTAGTGATGATATGTAAATCTGTTTATGGGATTTTAAAACAGGATAATAATACGCCAAATTAGATGGTCATACTAACACTGTCAATTCAATTTGCTTCTCATTTGATGGAGAAATATTAGCATCTGGTAGCGATGATAAGTAAATCCGTCTATGGGATTTTAAAACAGGATAATAAAAAGCCTTATTCGATAGACATGTAGAAGTTGTCAATGATGAAAATTCATTAGCTTCTGTTACTTATGATAAATCTATATGTTTATAGGATTTACAGACATTAGAAGAAATTCAATCCTAAATTAAAAATAAGTAAGAAGATTTTATTTAATATATACCTCTACTTCAAATAAATACTTATATTTCAGAAGGTAGTATTTTAATTATTTATTTTTTTAGTCTTTAATTATATCACTATACTCATTCTTTCTTAATAGCCAACATTCTAAATTTAAGGAGCGCTTATTCTTAAAGGAGAGTTTATAAATTATGCAGGTATAGATTTGAGACCTTTATTTAAACAAAAGGGTAGCTGCATTCTTGAAAACAAATTAGAATCAACGTAGGAGTGAAATAGTTATTTATATTAACATAAGTTATTATTATCAAATGTGATTATTTTTTCCATTACTTTCTTTTTGAAATTATCAAGTTACTTTTATGCTTAATTCATTAGATGTTATCTACTAAGAGAACAAGATATTATTAAATTGTAAATATTTAAATTATAAAAGTAAAAATTAGAATAAATATAAAATTAATTCAGTATTGTATAAAAATTAAAAAAAATATTCAAAAATATTGAAGGCAGATTAAAACCTCAAAATTAAGTAAAATTCAACCCAAA